CACAGTAAAGGAACACTGTGTCAACATTTGTGGCCCCAGACTATTCAGTATCTTACCAGAAGATATCAAAAACACTACTGGAACAAGTGTAGAAGTTTTCAAGAGAAAACTGGAAAAGTATCTTCACCACGTAAAGATCAACCAGGCTGTGATGGATATGTGAGGCAACAGGCCTCCAGTGGCAACAGCCTGGTTGACCAAGCTAGCACCAGACGAACCTGGTCCATGGCCGGGCTCCGAGAGTAATGAGATTGTAATAAAGTTGGTAGAATTACCGACAATATGTAAAGTAAAAGGACACAAGTGCAACTAATGTGACATTTATTGTGGCAACGTTTCGCTCTCCAGGAGCTTTATCAAGCCATTGTAATGGCTTGATAAAGCTCCTGGAGCGAAACGTTGCCACAATAAATGTCACATTAGTTGCACTTGTGTCCTTTTACTTTACAGTAATGAGATTCTTGAAACTCATCAAAGGTATGTACTATACACTTTACCTGGTATTCTTGACAGGCTTATTCCCTTATAATTTTTACTCTCTTTTGATCCTCCTTTTCTTTGTTCAAAGGAACTGTGCACATTCTCTGCCAGTCCCTGGTCCCTTTCCCTCTTGCATACATTTATTGAACAAAAGTACCAACCATTCCAGAACTGTATCCCCACCTGCTTTTAAAATTTCTGTCTTGATCCCATCAATCCCAGCTACTTTATTCCCTTTCATATTACCCATTACTCCATGCACCTCCACCACTCATGTTTGGCTCTTCCTTACTCCTAAATGACGTTATGCCTCCCTGGCCAGTGCTTGAAACCACCAAGAGCCCTGTAGTAGAAAACTGCATTTGATTGTATCTTAACGCACAATTCTGTGTTATGAGCACTTAGGGGTGAACAGTTTCCACCAGTTTTCCCAGCTGGATTCTGGGAGCCCCATGTAGTATCACTCACAGCTAGCAAACGATGATTTGCAGTCAAGGGTGAGGGAAGCTATTACAGAATACAGTACATGCATACAGTGGACCCCCGCTTAACGATCACCTCCAAATGCGACCAATTATGTAAGTGTATTTATGTAAGTGCGTTTGTACGTGTATGTTTGGGGGTCTGAAATGGACTAATCTACTTCACAATATTCCTTATGGGAAAAAATTCGGTCAGTACTGGCACCTGAACATACTACTGGAATGAAAAAAGTTCGTTAACCAGGGGTCCACTGTACTGACCTTATTGGGGGTCCAGTGAAGTGAATTTCAGTGTGAAAGATGTACAGTATATTTCATGTTGGCCCCCAGAGCCTCTTATCATAGAAATGTTTCATGAGGTCAAAATACAGTTTTTTTTTTTTTTTTACAGCTTTCTTCCAGCAAGGCAGGGTGACCCAAAAAGAAAGAAAATCCCCCCCAAAAATAATACTTTCATCATCATTCAACACTTTCACCTCACACATACATAATCACTGCTTTTGCAGAGGTGCTCAGAATACAACAATTTAGAACATATACATATAAAGATATATAACATATCCCTCCAAACTGCCAATATCCCAAACCCCTCATTTAAAGTGCAGGCATTGTACTTCGCATTTCCAGGACTCAAGTCCGGCTACATAAAAATAACCAGTTTCCCTGAATCCCTTCACTAAATATTACCCTGCTCACACTCCAACAGCTCGTCAGGTCCCAAATACCATTTGTCTCCATTCACTCTTATCTAACCCACTCATGCACGCTTGCTGGAAGTTCAAGCCCCTCACCCACAAAACCTCCTTTACCCCCTCCCTCCAACCTTTTCGAGGATGACCCTTACCCCGCCTTCATTACCCTACAGATTTATACACTCTCCATGTCATACTACTTTGATCCATTCTCTCTAAATGATCAAACCACCTCAACAACCCCTCTTCAGCCCTCTGACTAATACTTTTATTAATTCCACACCTCCTAATTTCCACACTCCGAATTTTCTGCATAATATTTACATCACACATTGCCCTTAGACAGAACATCTCCACTGCTTCCAACCGTCTCCTTGCAGCAGCATTTACAACCCAAGCTTCACACTCATCAAAGAGTATTGGTACCACTATACTTTCATACATTTCCTTCTTTGCCTCCATAGATAATGTTTTTTGTCTCCACATATACCTCAACACACACTCACCTTTTTTCCTTCATGAATTCTGTGGTTAACCTCATCCTTCTAAATTCCATCCACTGACACGTCAACTCCCAAATATCCAAAAACATTCACTTCTTCCATACTCCTCTCCAATTTGATATCCAATTTTTCTTTTTCTAAATCATTTGATACCCTCATCACCTTACTCTTTTCTATGTTTACTTGCAACTTTCTACCTTTACACACACTCCCAAACTCATCCACAAACCTTTGCAGTTTTTCTTTAGAATCTCCCATAAGCACAGTATCATCAGCAAAAAGTAACTGTGTCAGTTCCCATTTTGTATTTGATTCCCCATAATTTAATCCCACCCCTCTCCCGATCACCTTAGCATTTACTTCTTTTACAACCCCATCTATAAATATATTAAACAATCATGGTGACATTACACATCCTTGTCTAAGACCTACTTTTACTGGGAAGTAGTCTGTCTCTCTTCTACACACCCTAACCTGAGCCTCACTATCCTCATAAAAACTCTTTACAGCATTTAGGAACTTACTACCTATTCCATATATACTTGCAACATCTGCCACCTTGCTCCCCTATCCACTCTGACATATGCCTTTTCTCAATCCATAAATCCAATGAAAACTTCCCTACCTTTATCTAAATACTGTTCATATATATGCTTCAGTGTAAACACTTGATCTACACATCCCCTACCCACTCCAAAACCTCCTTGCTCATCTGAAATCCTACTTTGTCTTACCTCTAATTCTTTCAATAATGACCCTACCGTACACTTTTCCTGGTATACTCAGTAAACTTCTTCCCCTATAATTTTTACAATCTTTTTTGTCTCCCTTCCCTTTATGTAAAGGAACTATACAAGCTCTCTGCCAATCCCTACGTACCTTCTCCTCTTTCATACATTTATTAAACAAAAATACCAACCACTCCAACACTAAATCCCACCCTGCTTTTAACATTTCTGTCATGTCCCGTCAGTTTCATCTGCTTCACCACCTTTCATTCTACATAATGCCTCACGCACTTCCCCCACACTCGCATCCTGCTCTCCTTCGCTCCTAAAAGATGTTATACCTCCCTGACCAGTGCATGAAATTACTGCCTTCCTTACTTCAGCGACATTTAAAAGTTCCTTAAAATATTCTCGCCATCTACCCAATACCTCCAGCTCCCCATCTACTGGCTCCCCTACTCTGTTTTTAACTGACAAATCTATTCGTTCCATAGCTTTTCTTATCTTGTTTATCTCACTCCAAAATTTTTCTTCTTTTCATCAAAATTTCTTGACAGTGCCTCTCCCACTCTATCATCTGCTCTCCTTTTGCAATTAAAGCCAGGACATTCAGCTTCTTCTCATTCATAACATCCACAATCATCTCTTTCTTATCATTCGCACAACATCCATGCACATTCAAACATCCCACTTTGACAATTTTCTTCTTTTTCTTTTTAGTAGGCTATAAAGGAAAAGGGGTTACTAACCCATTGTTCCCTGCATTATAGTTGACTTTTACAACACGCATGGCTTACAGAGGAAAGATTCTTATTCCACTTCCCCATGGATATAAAAGGAAAAGTAATAAGAACAAGAACTATTAAGATAAAATCAAAGGAAACTCAGATGAGTGTTTATAAGTAAACATGTACATGTATGTGTAGTGTGACCTAAGTGTAAGTAGAAGTAGCAAGACGTACCTGCAGTCTTGCATGTTTGAGACAGACAAAAGACACCAACAATCCTACCATCATGTAAAACAATTACAGGCTCTCATTTTACACTCACTTGGCAGGACGGTAGTACCTCCCTGGGTGGTTGCTGTCGACCAACATACTACCTGTTGATGTATATATATATTTGTTTGAATGATTTTTCATAATACTATATATTAAGCCCATTTTTTATTCCAAAGTCCTATAAAATAATTAAATATAAAACTTTCTGCTGCATATCTCAATGATCAAGATACACAAATAACCCACACATAAAAGAGAGAAGCTTACGACGACGTTTCGGTCCGACTTGGACCATTTACAAAGTCACACTAACCAGAAGTGGAGCAGGACGGCTATATATAGGCAGGAGGAGGAGGTGGAGGTGGTGGTGGTGGTGGAGGAGGTGGAGGAGTGGAGGAGGTGGGGGAAAGGGGGTGGTGGTGGAGGTGGGGGTGGGGAGGAGAGGAGGTGGTGGGGAGGAGGTGGTGGAGGAGGAGGAGGTGGTGGAGGAGGAGGAGGTGGTGGTGGCGGCGGCGGCGGTAGTAGTAGTAGTAGTAGGGAATAAGGGAGCTAGGTGCCCACAGTGGGAGAGCAAGTGCACAGAGGTGGGTGAAAGGGGAAGTGGTGAAATAAATAAAGAAGGAACAGAAACAAGAGACAGAAGAAAGAAAGACAACCCAGAGGAGAAAAAGGAAAGAGGACAGGGGAAGATGGACAAAAACAAAAAGAAAAAAAAAAGAAAAAAATGAGGAGCCAGGTTAAGTCACGGGTGTTTTGAAGTTTGGAATATTTTACAATGTAGTGGGAGAGGAAGGCATCTACAGAGACAAAGCCAGGGCTAAGATTAATACAAGGAAAGTTGTGTATTAGAGAGGATTCAACTAGACGGCGACTGTTCGAGTTGGAAGTAGGGAAGACAGTTTTAGCAGCAGTCCAAGTCGGACCGAAACATCGTCGTAAGCTTCTCTCTTTTATGTGTGGGTTACTTATGTATCGTTCCAGTCACGGTATTGTGCCTTTTTTTGTTATTTATGATCAAGATATTATGTAGTGTAATAAATCAGTTTTAAATATCCAAAACTTATTGAAATTTATTTTCATAACTTTGTAGCTTATGTTTTACTTGGGTCGACAGTTTCATTTTGCAGCTTGGGCTTTTTAAGCCTATGGATCTTTGGAAAATTAAGCGTTTTCAGCAGAAAGCGTGGCCAAGGCTGGAGACTAGTGGTTGGAATGGCGCCACTTATTTTGGCTATGATGGTTGCTCTTTCACGGACCAGTGATTATCACCATCATTGGCAAGGTAAGAATAAAAATTCCTTCACAGTATAACAAACCAATTTCTATGATACACCAGTACTCCTATCACTGGCCATTTCCCACAAAAGTAGGACAATCCAAAAAAAAACACATTCACCATTGCTTATGCAATAGCTGTTTTACTGTCAGTGCATGGATATCACAGTTCAGATGTTTCTCCAAATTGCAAAATCCCCAAACAACACAACACAAAAATCTCAGCACCATTGAACACACCACTCAGTGCAACATGCCACTGTACACACTATACCCCACTCTACACAACACAACAAAACATACCACTCAGTACAACACATTGCATATAATGGGTGAAAAGCACAACAGTGTTAACATTAAAGAAAAGGGCTTTAAAGCTAGAGGAGGAAATGAAAAATTTGACGGAGACTATCGAGGAAATAAGAAGGGAGGATAGAAGAATCAGTAGTAGCAAAAGAAAGTAATCAGGAAGGAACAAATGAGAAAAATCATTAGCAGAGATATTCTCAAGATACCAAATGGCAATGATAGTAACATCAAATGAGGCAGTCAGGAGAGAAAGACCATGGGAGGAAGAAAGAGGAAGGTCACTGACAATCTAAGAACTTGAAGAGCTGATAGTAGGTCAGGAAAAAGATGAGGAAAATGAGATTATATTGATATTGTAGTGTATAGGAGAAGATGAATTAGGACAAACAAAAGCCTTTCAGAATATTGAGAAATATTCCTAGTGCAAGCATTGCTCAATTAATCTAGCCTTCTGGTGACCACTACCTCAAAACAGGCTCTTGAGACAGAAAGCATTCTTGAGGAATACAAGATATCACAGTGAACACTGGATAGAAACAGGACAGAAATGAAGAGGATACAGTTGAGGGATTATGTAAATAATTGTTGATTTAAACAGGGTACTGAGGATATCCACCTAGAAAAGAATGGTTTTAAATTGGGAAAGTTGAAATTTAGAAAGGATGTATGAAAGAACTAGTTCAACAATCAGTTGATGATAGTGGAACCATGCGCCAAATTGGGTCATTGTATTAGACAAATATATGAGAGAGGGGTTGAATTTGAGAAGGAACTACGTAGCATTTGCCAGTAGGCCTGCTGCAGTGCTCCTCCATTTTTTATATTCTTATATTTTTATATAGGAAAGAGCAAAGGGAGTAACAATGGGAAGAAATGCCCAGCCTCAAGAATTCTCTCAAGGTTTACCCTTTGCCAGAATCTTAACAAGCTCAACTCCCACTTCTCCAACACTAACAATAGCTCCACACCCTTTCCCCTCCTTCTCTTCCCTGTCCAGTTACAATAATTACCCATTTTCTTGCCTTACCTATTTCCCTTCCTTACTGATGAGCAGTGAACAAAATGCCTGAATGCCACAAACCAGAACAAAGTAAAAGAATAAGCTCTGTGTATAGTATACAATACAGGTGGATTATCAAATGGGTGATGAATTTGAAGAATGGATAACAGAGGCAACCCCAGACATCATAGCTATCACAGAAACAAAACTAACTGAAATAGTAACAGATGCCCTATTTCCAGCAGGAATATGATGTTTTGAAGTGGAGTTTTGAAGAGATGAAAGGAATAAAGAAAAATAAGTCAGATGACTATCTAGGAGGCACAGTAGAGACTAGGGGACCCAAAGTAGTAATATCAGTGATCTACAATCCACTATCAAATAGACCAAGAAAGGAATATGAAAATAACAGTAGTTGCAGTTTAGAGGGCCATTTGAACTGTGATGTCATCACACTTCTCGCAAGACAGTGTTTGAGTGAATGATGGTGAATGAGTCTTCTTTTTTGGGTCACCTTGCATTAGTGGGGACAGCTAATGTGCTAGGAAAAAAGGATGGATTCCTGACCAGTATTCAATAATCTGTGGCCAGCACTCTTGTGCTAAAAATTGTTTCTCATTCTTTAATATTTTTACGGTGATTAATTCCAGCTAAATCTGTATGTAATTGACTGTGATTGCAAAGGAGCCTGTAACTTTGCATTATATGTATATATTGGTATTTTTAAATCCAAAATACTCCTATTTTAATACAGTATTTAACATTCCCTTAGATGTAGTGGTAGGATCACTGTTGGGACTATTCATCTCCTACCTCTGTTACCGTCAGTACTACCCTCGTCTGACTTCACCATACTGCCATCTTCCTTACCTTATGGTATCTACTGTCCTTCAACCAAAGCTTGCCAAAGATACCTCAGGTGGAGAGGTGCCAAACTTTCTTGATCCAGAATCTCCAATGGAAGAGCAAATCAAGTGGATATAGTTGGTAAAATGCAGTACTGTAGTTTCATAAGAATTTTGAAGAACAAAAGAATATATTTTTACTGCTAATTAAATTGACGATAAAAAAATATTTTTATTGAATTGTTGAATGATTAAATTCAGACTAGGATACTAATCAAACTTTTTCAGGTGTCAATTTTTTTAATTGCTTAAGTATTTTGTATGTAATTTCTTGTCCCTTTCTAAGGAAAGGTAAAAAAAAATATGAACCAGAGGACCATGTATTGCAGAAAATATGTTGCTGCAAATGTGACAAAATATATATATTTTAGATGTACACACATAAGAATTCTAAGTATTTTATCATATAAAACAATACTTTTTATAATTTAAAAGTTAGTAGTATATCATAAATAGGTGTTCATTAAATATACACATTTGAAACTAATAACATCTAACATTAAAACCTATTATTATATATATTATGTGTTTCAGCTTCCATGAACCACGTTTAGGAAGAGCAACCTGTCTGTACACATTCTGTGTATCAGTAATACTCTCGTAGATCACTTTTCCCCATTAACCCTTGCAGGGTCAGCAGGCCCTCTCCCAAACCTGTTCTCAGGGTCGGTAACAATTCAAAAAAAAAAAACTTTTTCTTATGAAAAGATAGTGTTTTTTTTTTCTGAATTGTATAGGCTAAACAAAAAATTTTTACCATCAATTCTTACCGAGATATGGAGGCATGAAGTTGACAGAAAATGACCAGCATACGGTAATGTCGCCGACTGCCGGTCACCCGGTATTACTTTATTTATTTTTTTAGGTACTATTTTCTATTATTTTTTTTTTTTTTTTCCAAGTAACTTTTATGGCCTGTGAGACTAATATGAGCACTATTTTGTAAGTTATTTCTTTTTCTATACTACACAATAACTGCATAAACGCTGTTGTCACTGTTTTGTTTAGAAAACACATTTACACAAACAAACAATACAAAATGTTGTTTATTACTTTTTTTCTATATTTTATATACACATATACAGTCACAGGACATGTTTTTACACTCCTCACACAAAATGAGTGTGTCTGTGTTGTTGTGGGCATTTTTTTTTTTGTATGTGCACAGACATAACACCTCTCCTGAGCCTTTTTCTTGAAAGCAGTAACAGGCAGTTTTGTTAGGAAGTGATCACCTTGCTTCAGACGAGAAGGTAGTTGTTGATAATTACGTGGGTGGTTTTCTATTGCAGATGCTGTTCCATGGTACTTGATTATTATTTGTCTGATGACAGACAAACAAAATTCGCCATATGGTGGTTTGTTTCTGGTCCTCATCTTATATATATTATAAGCATTGACCATGGAAATGTCCAGAAGATGGAAAAAGAGTTTTATGTACCACTTATAACTCTTGCGAACACAATCAGCAAACCCAATCTGCATGTCACATTTGTCCACTGAATGCATATTGAGGGTGTAGTCAATCACAGCTGCAGGTTTTAGAATGGGTTCATTGCTTTCTCTATGCTGCCTGCCAGTGTCTGCCATTTCATTAGGGTGAACAGCGTCGAACTTGGGCATATGTTTACGATTTGCACGCACTGTGCCACACACATCTGTCATGTTCACCCGCAAGAAATCACTGAGTGAGGGGCTTGTGTACCAGCTGTCAGTATATAAAATATGTCCCTTACCAAGATATGGTTCCATCATTGTTCTAACCACATCACCGGAGATACCCAGTAACTTCCTGGTATCTCGCAATGTATTACTTCCAGTGTACACAATTATATCCAATACAAGACCACTGTAACAATCACAAAGCACAAACAATTTTATACCAAAGTGTTTCCTCTTGCTTGGTATGTATTGCATGAATAAGAGTCTTCCTTTGAACAGAATGAAAGACTCATCAATAACAAGCTTCCTGAAGGGATAAAAATACATACTGAATTTCTGTTTCAAATGCACAAACACATTCCTAATCTTGTATAACCTGTCGTTTCTGTCAGGCCTGGTTTTGTCTGAGAAGTGAAGCATACATAATAGTAGCACAGAGCGATTCACTCCTATTATATCACTGAAACCTGGGGTTGCAATCAGGTGGTCTGTTGACCAGTATGATTTCACACTGTGCTTATACACATGTGGCATAAGCATTATTGTGGCAAACAAAAGATACATCTCAGCCACAGCTGTCTCCTTCCAATGGTGTAGCCGTGAGCTTGGTGAAAGTATTGTGTTTGCCATGGTGTACTCGTAGTATCTGTTGCTTTCCCTGACAACAATTTCCATGAACATCAAAATGGTATACAATACCGACAGGTTGGTAGGTAAGACACATAGGCAACAGTAAGGCAACTTTATTTCGAAACGTTTCACCTACACAGTAGGCTTCTTCAGTCGAATACAGAAAGTAGACAGGAACAGTAGAGATGTGAAGATGATGTAATCAGTCCATCACCCTTGAAGTCGTAGAATTTGAGGTTGTCAGTCCCTCAGCCTGGAGAAGTTCAGTTCTGTATTCGACTGAAGAAGCCTACTGTGTAGGCAAAACATTTCGAAATAAAGTTGCCTTACTGTTGCCTATGTGTCTTACCTACCAACAATTTCCATCAGGGGTTCATCAAAGTGATGGGGATTGGGAACAAAATTGGCAGCTTCCTGCCAATCCCAGGTGCCGTCTGCTAGTGGGTACTGGATATTGACAGGTAGTTGTGGTTGTGGAAGTTGTGATTGTGGAGGCTGGTGTGGTGGGTGGGTGAGGGATGGTGGCCTTTGTTGTAGATCAGCTGAGGCAGTGACGTGGGTGACAGCGTGGGTGGCAGCATGGCCCACTGCTGGTGCCTCACAGTCAGCACCACCACTACCACCACCATGCACATTTTCCATCCCAATTGCAACACTATCATCTTCATTTTCACTGTCTGTTCCTGTTGTACAGCCATGGGATGTACTCCAAGATGTACTCCTTCCCCTTGGAATAGCATATGGCACACTACCAGAGCGCATATATCGCCATATATACTGACGCTTCACTGGAGAATATTCCACTTCACTATCACTACTGGAACTGTTTTCAAGAGCTTGGAGTTCATATTCACTATCACTATCATCACCAATGCTCACATCTGAGTCCGGGATTTGGAAAAATAGGAGTTTCCCTTTGATTCGGGGTAAAAATTTGAACTGAACAAGACGGCCCCCAGGAAGGGTAAAGGCCTGGGGTCTCTAGGTTTTCCTCACTATTACCGGATTAGGGGGTTCATTAGTTTCGGTCAAAACCTCACCCGAACCTTAAAAACTCATCTTCACTGGCATTTCCCAAACCTGTTTTAGAATGTCACTGAGGAAAAAAAAGTGCCCCCAATTTTGGGCCGGACGGGGTGGGGGGAGTTTCTTACCGCAAAGGCATGGGGGCAAGGGTTTAAAAAAAAATGGCGTTCCCCCAAGGGCCCCCACTGGGTCCCAGAATTTTCTCCCATGCACACCAACCATGCAACCCATTCTCAAATCTAGCCCTCCCACTTTTTCCTGCTTAATTTTGAACCCGCTGGGAATTTATCCCATACAAAAAAACGGCCCCAACCCTGAGGCAACCCGTAAAATTTGGGAACCCAACCCATAAAAGGGGTTTTTAAAAATTTTAATTTTACTTTAAAAGTACTTTGTGCAGTGTTTAAAGATATTGTTTTAATGACCACACCCACCATTCATCTTTCCCCTTTTTCTTTTAAAACATGAAGAACTTTATCTTTTATGTTGATCTCTGCTCCGGGGAAGACAGTGCTGCCACAAAATTTTTGGGTTCCCCCTTAGACTATGCCCTTTTGGGAAACCCTTTTTGTGTGCTTTTTAAAGCCTTTGTGGCCTTCACGGGGAAATTTACACTCCTAAAATTTTTGGGATTTTTGGGTTGACTTGATGTGTTTTAAAGCGCACTCATCTCATGTTACTCAAAAAAGGGGCTAGTTGTACCCTCAGGTTTCCCCCCTATTTTCTGAAAAACACCCATTTTTATTTGGGTGGTCAATAATCCCCCCCCAACACTTTCGGGCCCCAAAAAGGGCGTTTCCACTACAAACTAATCACCACTTTTAAAACACAGAGTTACACTTTATTGGAGCAACAATACAAAGGTGTTTTAATCCTACCCCAGATTTTTTTTTTTTTTTTTTTTTTCTAAAAAATTTGGGGTTTTTCCCCCACCGGGGCGGGGTGCCCAAAAAAAGAAAGAAAACCCCCCCAAAAAGAAAATACTTTCATCTTCATTCAACATTTTCACCACACCACATATTATAAAAGCTTTTGCAAGGGTGCTCAAATTACAACAGTTTAGAAGCTTTATACTATAAAGATACACAACATATCCCTCCAAATTGCCAATATCCCAAACCCCTCCTTTAAAGTGAAAGGCATTGTATTTCCCCAATACCCAAGGACTCAAGTCCGACTATATGAAAAAAACCCGGTTTTCCCCTTTAATCCCTTTCCCCTTTAAATTTTAACCCTGCTCACACCCCAAAACAATCGTCAGGCCCAAGTACCTTTTCGTCCCATTCATCCAAACCCCCTTTTAAAAAAACACGCTCAGGGAAAACGCTTGCGGGGAAAAAGCCCAACCCCTCGCCCAAAAAACCCCCTTTTCCCCCCCCTCTTTCCAACCCTTTCGAGGACAAACCCTACCCCTCTTCCCTTTCCCCACTATGATTTATATGCTTTCCATGTAAATTCTATTTTTGTTTCCTTTCCCCCTTTTAAATGACCAAAAAAACCTCAACAACCCCTTTTTGGGCCCTCTGACAAAAATGTTTTTTTAAAAACTCCAAAATTTCCCCAAATTTTCCCCCCAAACCCGGAATTTTCTCCCATTTTTATTTAACCACACTTTTCCCCCCAAAGACAGGACTTTCCCCACGGAAACCCGTCTCCTCGTCCCCTGCTTTTAAACCCCCCCAAGCTTCACATCCAAAATAAAGTGTTGGTAACTAAAATTTTATAAAATCCCCTTCTTTGCCCCCAATAGAAACTTTTTTTGCTCCCCATATACCCCCAACCACCCCTAAACCCCTTTTTTCCTCTTTAAATTTCAGTTTAAACCCCCACCCTTTCATAAACCCAAATCCTGAAACGTCAACCCCCAAAAGAAATTGAAAACATTCACTTCCCTTCCTACTCCCCCTCCCGAATTTGAACC